GGAATGATGAGAGGTTTCGTCTCTCTATATATATTAAACCTACACCTGGGTCACAAGTCCCAGTCACTGTTGAAGCTCCTCTCACTACAACGATGGACCCGACACACGCACCGTGAATACATGGAATGATGAGAGGTTTCGTCTCATATTGTCATCAAAAACATTTTATCCAAACCCTAACAAACATCCTATAAGCTTAGCACACGTCTACTGTGTCATCAGCCTATCAGAGCCCACAGCTGAGCCTCTACTCACATGGAGAAGGTTTTTCCCAAAACTATAGAAGCTAGAAGTGTAACAGGTTTTACATTGGTCTTTCTCGGTACCTGTCTTTTTTTATACGTATTTCCTATAAAAATGTTTGTCAAAAATGCGACAAATCAAAATGTATTTCTACCGTAGACGGAAACGTAATTAATATAATTTAATAAATATTTAATCAATGAAAGTAACAGTGTATTGTGAAACAGCGATTGCTCAACGAACATTCAAGCATGACATGTACTGTAGCATAAAGTCATGCACCGAAAACTTTGTCATTAATATCGAGACGAATTGACAAATAAATAATATACTTATATATATAATGTAATCTTCCTATATATCAAAAAGCTTTTATGTAGTATCCATAAAGTTAGATAATGCGTAAACAAAACCATTAATACAGATTTATTTGTTTTTTAATGTATGTTTTCTATAACATTCTATAAATAATATACTTAGTATAATATTATTCGTTTAAAATCAACATTTTTAAAATAAAAAATTATTAATAATAATTTTATACGAATGTATTTATTTACGTGAAATTATATTAAAAATGTGTATATATTTTATAGTAAAGGTACTGCTTATATACGGCTAACTGTCCTTCTGTTTGATATACCCGAAAAATCCTAGGCGAATTTTCATCCGTCATGACTTTAATGATTCAAGAAAGTTTGGATGTAAAACAAGTTAAGATCTTAAGTAATAAGACGTTTAATTTCTGTTGAAAATGTAAGTGTACATATATATGTACATGGAAAGCCGATGGTTAATCCAAAAGAGAGAATTCCAATATATATAATTACTTAGAAACTTGTTCCATCCGTTTTAAGATATAAAAACATTTCAATGGTACAACTGGTGCTTAGGAAGTCAGCTGGAAATACTTAAATTCCATCTCGTAACAAACTGCTTACTTTTTACTAGAGAAACCATATAATATATATCATACAAAAAAGTATATAATTACGTCTACTTGCACAATGTTTAATTATTGCAATTAGGCTCAAATTAATTTATTCTATTGTTTATTTTTAACATGCACGCCAAGTGGTTCCGTGGTGTAGTGGTTATCACATCTGCTTTACACGCAGAAGGCCGCCAGTTCGATCCTGGCCGGAATCATAATTTTTTTCATTTTTTTTTTAAATTTCCCACATCAAATTTTTCTTAATGGATGACAATATTTCTTTTATTATGAATTCCTGGTATTTTTTTAACATTATGTAGATTCGTACAGAAAATAATTAGAAAAAAAATATTACGCTTTCATACTTATCGTAAGTGTAATAGAAATAAATTATCACTTATATACATAGTAAATATTTTTCACGCCTATTGATTATCCAGTGGCGTGTAAAAACGAATTAAATGGCGAATTAGAAAACTGAGATGTTGTGTAATTATAATGAAATCACGTAATGTTTTACGAGAAGACCGATGATAAAAAGTGTTGAAATATTTCTATTTTTAGATTGTAATATTAAAAAATATATTATTTAGTTTTTCAGATATTCAAATTTGATACAAAAACTTTGTTCTTATATTAAACGCGGCCAAAATCGGGTGCATCAGCTAGTTTACAATATTATTAATTCAATTTTATACATATTAATTCTTCATAAAAATATACCTTCTAGTAACAATACATAAAGTCTTCCTAATATTTATAGCCCTATTATTAATTAAGATTTTTCAACTCATTACAGAGCAAAACCAAAGGATTTGACTAATTGAATTAAGGGAGTAAGGAATTATTTAAGTTAATTATGAAATGGTATTACTACACATAGCTATATTATATATATACATATATATGTCTAGTTATTGTAACACACTGAATTAACGACTGGCCTTCTCTACAAACATCATTGAAAACTATTTGTGTATAAGGATAATGGTTTTATTATATATAAATATATGTATGACATCAATTTATGCTAATATTTAATGCTGTTATTGTTAGAGAGTTTTGTATTATGGAAATTTTATAAGCCATATTACTTTAAGCATTTCTGAATGTTTAAATTTGTTTTTTACTTGTTAATTGGGAAGAAAAGTATAATATATATACATATAATAATATTTAATATGTTCTCATTAATAAAAACCTAAGTAATGGTCCGCCAACTGTATAAATAACAACAAAAAAATCAATTTATTAGGTTGGTGCGTATGAAATGTCGCATTCTCTTTACATGCGGACGTTTGTCTCCCTGTTTTCGTTATACTTTTGTCTTTGGCATAACCTCATTCATAGTCGTATTGTCCATTGCCAGAGACTCATTTCAGCAAAATAGGTTTTCTCGAAAATCTTCTTTTTTGTTATTTCTTTTGAGTTTATTGCCGATATGAATTCTACCGACATTCGCGTCATTTTCTCATATGAGTATAAACTTGGTAATACTGCTGCAAAAGCTGCACGCAACATAAACCAAGCGTTTGCGGAGAATACGGTTAACGATCGGAAAGTGCAGCGTTAGTTCGAAAAATTTTGGACTGGCGATTTTTGGCCACGAGGAAAACCCAAAACGTCTGTGAAGAATGATGACCTGAAGGCTCTAGTGGAAGCGGAATTTGCTATCAGGATGAAAGTTGACCATACAACGATATTGAGATACCTTTCTGAGATTGGCAAGGTTAAGAAGATGGACAAATGGCATGGCCCGCTACTGCTCCATGACAACGCTCGGCCGCATACATCGCACAAAACAATTGTGAAACTAAATGAACTGGAATATGAAGTTTTGCAGCATCCACATTATTCACCGGATCTCTCGCTGACCGATTTTCATTTTTTCAAGCATTTAGAGCTGTTTTTAAGGGGCAAACACTATGAAAATGAAGACAGTCTAAAAAACTCGATATCAGAGTTTATTCATTCTAAAGAACAACATTTTTTTTAAGACAGGCATCTAGGCTTTAAAATCTCGTTGGGAGAAGTGTATTGAAGCGAATGCAGCATATTTTAATTGAATAAACTGATTTTTAGGAAAGATATGCAGTTTTTTACAATCACTTAAGAATCCGACATTTCATACGCACCAACCTAATATAATATAACTGCTCTTCAGTCAATTTTTTTCTATACAACAATGCTTTCTTAACTCACAGAATTATTCATCCATTGATTTGCAATAATTTTTCAATTGTGATCATTATTTAATTAGAAAAAAGTATTAAAAAAAAAACCAAATTCATACCCTTGAGTTATATATAATGTATAATTATAGAAATACATTTGTTCTGGATGTGCAATTCAATTAATTGCTTTAGTAGACAAATAATGTATAATTGGTCTTTATGTAAACATGTCTTTGGTTGTGACTTCAGTATTGTAAGAGCCATATTATGCTGGAATATTGTCACATTAAAAACGTTATAAGGGAAAACTTAAAGATAGTAACTTCCAGGAAAATTAATTAGTTCAAAGCTCTGCGGTTTTATATTTAAACATAACCCACTTTACCACAAGTTTGCATTAACAAACCAAAAATATAGCTTTTTTAGTTCATTCATAAATCTACACACACAAGTTTCAATGTAGGTACATATAAGTATAATAATTAAGGTTCATGTATGAAATATTTAATCATGAACTATTTGGTAGACTTTAGGTAAGGATAGTATGTTTAGAAGTTTAAAGACAATTATAGTTTTATAAACCCAATTTATAACCTACATGAGTCAGTTACAGCAGATAGTACCTTGGTAGTTGTAAATACAATTGGTAGTGCTCAACAATAGGTTTAGGCAATTGACGGCTTCCTTGTTAGTTAGTAATTCAAGACCTAGAAAATCCAGCAACAGAATGAATCATACAGGAATGTACAAAACATAATTGTAACACATAACTAATATGCATTATAAGCTATAGAAATTTATTATTATTACATATCCCTACAAATAATATAAATGCGAAAGTAGCTCTGTCTGTCCGTCTGTTACGCTTTCACACCTAAACCACTGAACTGATTTTAATGAAATTTGGTACAGATAGAGTTGACCTTGAGAAAGAACATAGGATCGTTTTTATCCCAGACTTTTTAAAGGTTCTCTTGGAAACGCGATATAACCGAACTCCACGCGGGCGAAGCTGCGGGCGGAAAGCTAGTAACATACATATATATTTGTAGTAGGTATTAACAATATGTATTGTTTGAGTAAGTATTTAATTACTATTATTTGAAATCTTCAATATTTCAATATTTAATATTGTGTATATGTGGTGTAAAAAAAGCTGAGCGTATATTTCCACATGCATGTGTTTATTGTAATTTTTTTCTTATCAGATAAGATATTGCTTATCAGTTGCACAGGTTGCTTGAGTTATTATTAGATAATTTATTAACATATTATTAAATTAGCTTCTTTATATTCAAGTTTACAATCAGACAGGCGATATAAATTTTAAAGTTGACGTAAATGACGTCCAACGAAATCACAAGGTCACTTATATTGTTGAATAAAGAGCATACCTACTGAACGAGTAAAACAGATATGGTAATAAAGTGGACCAATGATAGCAGAACTAATTTTTATAATTTTATGAGTCACCACACGCCAGCTAAATTGATGTACCGGCGATCACAATGAGAAATATAATCTAAAATTACAACCGTGAAAAGAATATTCACATACCAATGAGAGTTATATTAACGAGATCGTAAATAGTAATTATTAGTCTAGAGAAATGCGATTAAAATACTACATGGAATGCAAGAGAAAATTACCTTGTCCAAACATTTCAATTCCTCTGTCGGGTAAACAGTTTTTTCGCACCTTGCGCAAGTTTTATTCATCGTGAATCCAATAAACACAATACCAACACTGAAATAACTTCCACTTGAAACTCACAGAGCAACACTGGTATCACGTTTCACAAACAAAGTTTCAAATTTTCCTTATTACTGAAAAACACTCAAGAGCACAATTTCTGTATCATCTCTGAACGCGCATGCCAAAAAAGTGACAAATGGCGGCCTATAATGTTGCTATCATACCATTTCGTAATAAGAATACTACCATTACACCACGTTCCTACCACAAGAAAAGGTAAATTAAAATTAAAAATTATCTGTGAAAATAAATATATTTATGAATTAAAATTAACAAAAATTAAGAACACTGACATTTATCGCGTTTTAATACAGCTAAAGCTTCGTTAAATAATTGTTTAGAAGTTTGTATCATTTCGGTTAAATTGTTGTAGTCATCTTGTTTTTCCTCTTCAATCATTTTTAACTTGTCCTCCATGATCTTTAGCTTCTCTTCTGCCAATTCTAATTTATATTTTAATTCCTCTTTGTCGAAGCCATCATACATTTCGTTTGTTGTAGTCTCGGAAGACACTATATCGCTTGGTTTATCAAAAGCTGAAAGCGAAGACATTTTCTTTGAAACAGTAACTGCGCCAAATTGTTGCATTTCGTATGGTTCTTTACTTAATATGGTTTTAGATGTTTTGGATCCCCTCTTAGAAGAATCCTTCAACATTTTTATTTCATCTTCCAGTGATACTATCTTTCTTTCCAGTCGCTTCCTTTTCTCCTTCAACTTCCTGTTTTGTGTATCTAATTCTTCCCATTTCTTTCGTTCGTTGTCTAATCTCTCATTTAATGTGACAACCAGTTCTGACAACTTCTTTATTTCATTATCGGTAGCCGTCTTCATCGGAGTAAAGAAAACGCTTTGCAACGAACATTCCTCGTATCTTAATAATTGAGCTCTTAGCTCCTCAATTTTGGTTGCCTTTTCCGAAGCTTGCTGTCTCAGAGCGTCGATTTTCGCGTCCGTATTCTTTATAAGTTTCTGATATTCCCCAATTTCACTATTCATTTTATTCATTTTCGAAGTATTTTCTTTCAATATCTCTTGATAATATGCTTCTAATGTTTTAATTTGATTCTGAAAATACAAATTAAACAAATAAAAACCATTTATCTTTTTAAAATCACATACAGCCATCAAATACATCGTTTTATATAAAAAAAGTATCACGGTTAATTCTACTCCTCATCTTCAGCAGGATCCCAAGAAATTTAAGGATTACATAGACAGAAAATAACATTATACCAACTGCATAAACTCACTCTTTGCTCGTTAATAAGAAGATCATCGTGGTTACTTTTCTCAACGAAGGTTTGCATCTTTTGTCTAATAGTAACAGCATCGCATTCTAAGTTTCTTATTCTGCATCGAGCACCGTCCAGTTTCTTCTTTAATTCCTGATTTGTCTCTTTCAGAACCTCTAAATCTTTTACGGTCTGATCCATTTCCTTCTTTCTTTTCACTTCAATTTCTTTGATTACCTATAACAGTTTGAGTTTTAAAATTAAAACAAAGCAGGTAATTTTTTTATACAATCGTATATAAAAGTAAATATAAAATAGTTGCTAAAATATTAGATATTTGATAAAAAAATAAAATGATATTTAGAAAATATATTGATTTATACCACATACCTGGCCTTGGTCCTTTCTTTTAGAATCCATAGACTCCTTTTGTTTTCCATTCAATTTTTCTTCAAGTTCGCTAATTTTAGCTTGCAATAAAACAATTTGTTGAGCCCTACCCTTCCATCCAGCCAAATCGTTTTGGAGATCCTTTATGCTCGTAAATTTATCACCTAGCTCCTGTTGTAAGATCTTAGTAGCGGTAAGAATATCATTTTTCAATTCAAGATTCCTATTTTTGCTGTCATACAATCTTTTATTAACAACAGCAAGTTTATTGTTAAGTTCTTTGAGTTCGTCAGAATTTATGTCTCCTGGTTCTTCTTTACATAAACAAGCCTCTAATTTCTCATTTTCTTTGTTAATCATATCGAGTTGCATGATTTTTCTTTCGAGGGATGAATTTTTGGTCTTGTAACTCTCAACTTCCGCTACAAGATGGCGGTTCTGTTTGCAGAGTTCAGTAATTTTTGCGCTTATAATGCCAGCAGACTTTGATGATATAGCTGGCCCAGTACCGGATATAATATCCCGAATCCGCTGATTGAGATCTGTTACAGTTTTATTTAATTCTTTTATCTCTTCATCTTTTGTAAATACACATTTACGAAGTTGATTGTTTTCGCAAGTCATTATCTAAAATTAAGTAAATGTAAGTATTTAATGTAAATAAACGATAGTAGTTCCTATTTCATATTTACATATATTACTGAATTAACCTTGAGTGAAAGTAAGATTAGTATACAGGGTGACTGGTGAATTACTATCGATATTTGAGGACGTGATATTTGACGATCATATATGACAAAATAAAAATTAATATAACATAAATATTAATAAACTTCTAAGTAAAGTTAACCAAAAGTTATGTAATTAATTACGCATCGTATGAACACCCTACAGATTAGGTATACACACACACTCACACAGACGCGGCGGCGGCGTAGTGTTGTATCAGCACGCCGCCGCACGCGTCCACACTTGGAACACTTGGAACGTGTACACACTTTATTTATTTATACGGAAATTTGGTCAAAAATTAAGTACCTATTTTTTTTACATAATTCGAATGAGAATCATGTACCGAGTATGCTCCTTAAATATTGATAGTAATTCACCAGTCACCCTGTATATATTGGAACGGACGTATTAATTGTATGAATCATGGGAGATGAGATGGCTGACTTAGAATTTTAAAAATAATATGTACTTATTTCATCATTGAAAGTTTTGTATAATTTTAGAATAAGCACCTGCAGTTGATCAATTAGATGAGCATTCAATTCTGGAGGGTACAAAACATCGTCGGGCTCTGGCTTATCAAGTGCAGCAAGCATTTTTAACTTCATTTCGTCTGTTTCATCAATTTTTGCTGCTAATTCAGATCCCTTATCATCTTTGACATTGCCTTTAGTTTTAAGTTTCGTAGCCGAAACCATTTTCTTATCCATTGTTAATAATATTCCTCGTATAAGTAAAATTAATGACAATTAGTAACCATGAACACAAGTAAAAATATCAGTTTCCAAGTAAAATAAATGAAAGTTTTAAATATGGCTTCAAATTTCATTCAAAAATATATTTAAAAAAATATTTTCGTTTTCTTTATTGAATTAAATCAAAGATACTATATAACAATAAAGTAAATTTGAACTCATTTTGAAAAATTTAAAAATTCACTAACAGTATTTGTTAAAAGTTAAGACTTTTAATTATTTTAAATTTTTTATTCTCATATTATTGTTACTGTATCTAGCAACACTAATTTCAGGTTTTCAGTATTTTGACGTATGTGACCATCAGCTGTCACAAAACATTGATTTTATTTCTTTCGTACTGCGTGAAAAATATCTAAAAACAAGATCATATTAGTTATTAAAATTGTCAGTTACTGTGTTTTAACTCATGTGGATGGATCCTGCGCTGTAATATCACTGACTAACCATATCCCGTACTCACCTAAGGTATAAAACAATTAGTTTGCCCTTGTACAGTATTTCTTATCTTAATAAAGCAAACAAAACAGTTTCACGGCAGCTTACAGTTATTATTGATTGCTTTTCAATACATTATTAGTCAAATAGGTTTTCAATGATAGATTTGATGCTCGGTAACATTAAATATAATGTTTATAATTGAGTAAAGTAATAATTTCTTTTTACTATGTTTTATTGTTTTTACTATGAATATATAGTAATATTACATAATAACTCACTTTAAACTGCACCATTATAAACGAGGAGTACTAATTTGCTTCGTATTTAATTTAATTACGATAAATTAATATGTTTTTAGGCATAATGCCCGGTACCAATCTTATAGTCCCCGTTGTATTATGGGGCAAACATGCTCCGACACATTGCATTTCATCAGTATATCTATCAAGAGATCAGAAAACTCTTGTAACTGGATGCTATGATGGTCAAATATGTATTTGGCAAGTGGATCCCGATTCATTGAAAATGATACCTCGTTGCCTTCTCGTCGGACACACAGCTCCTGTCACATGTTTATCTAGAGCTTCTATAATACAGGTAATAATATAAATATATATAACATAAAATTTAGTTACTATTTTCTTAGTATTGTGTAATAACATAAGTTAAAAAAATCAATAATTGTTTTCTTATAAGAATTTTAATAAGAAAAACATGACCATTTTGCAAACTTATCATTATTTTATTTTGAACATATTTGTAAATTATGTTAGTATTTTTTTTTATGTTATGTAATGACATAAAAATCTATAATAGTTGTCTAATAAGATTATTTAAAAGAAATGCATAACTATTTACAAATTAATAGATATTGAATTTGTAATGTACTGGTAAATAAAATATATTGTAAAGAAATATTTCAACTGAAAAATAATATAGATTAAATTATTACAGAAAATATTATATCTTTGTCAGATTTACATACTATTTGCAATATTTCTTCAACATATCATATTTTTAGTGATAAAATCTTGTTTATTGATTGAAATAAATCAATTCATATTAAATACTATATATATTTCAGGATAATAACTTCATAGTGAGCTCTTCAGAGGCTGGTGAGATGTGTACCTGGGATTTGGTGGACGGTAAATGCAGGGAGAGTGTAAAACTGACACAAATACATACAAATATACAGGTATATATTATATAGTCTAAATACTGATTTTTACTTACAATTTAAATGGACTCTATTTCCATTGTAATAAGATTCAAATTGCTTATTGACATATTGTTACATAATCAACATTATATATAAAGATGTTGAGAATTCATTAAATACACGGTAAAAAAATAAGGTCTATTAAAATTAATAAGTCTAATTCAAAACTTATTTATTGTTAGCAAAAAAGAAAATATTTTTTATATACATATTCTAAGTGCTTGGTTTATGAATGAAAGACCTATTCAAATATTTTACTAGGGCTGTTATTTCCAATCTAAACAAAGTCAAAGTATATAATTATATTCTATCAATAAGATCTGAATATTAATGACTTCTTTGGTGGCCATAAATCAACCATCTTTAATTTAAACTTTTTAAAATGTTGTATAACAATTACACGAAATTCTTGCTTAAACAGCCTCCTTGTTAAAAATATATGAAATATTTGTTTAATCATAAAATTTTCAAATTATTTTTTTAAGGTTTTCGTAGTTTTCATATCCTTTTTAATATGTTTCCCAAATGCACTTAAATTTGCAAAACAAAACATGCATTGTTTAGTTAAATATTAATTCCGTTTATATACTATCACTTATATATTGTTAAATTTAAGACAGATATAATTTTTGTTACATATAAATTCACTTACTGTATTAAAAGTAAATATTTCTTCCCCAGGCCTACCACATGTGTAACAGTGAAGATTTGCGTCTATTTTGCAACGGTTACTACGCTGAGATATTGATAATGGATCCATTCTCATTGGAGATCCTGTTCTGTTTGAGTTCAAAGATGAATCCCGATTGGATATCAGCATTGCATGTAAGATACAGGGTGTTTCATTGTAAATTGATTTTTGGTATAGTAAAAATACTACATGCTGTATAGTGCTGTAGTAATAGGGAATTGTGTGTGTGTGAAAAGGAAAGAAATATATTTATAGAATATATTTTTACGAAAATTTGTATTGAGTGAGATTTGATGCTTATCTATTATTCTAAATACATGTTTAGTGTATCTAGTAAAATATGGAAGTTTTATGGTGAAAATGTATGTTTTTAAGTCATATTAAACGGTTCCTTATAATGTTAAATTGGATATATATTTTTTAATTATTGTAATACATTTATTATATTAATAAAATAGAAATATGGGTAGGTAACATGTGGAAAATCAAAAAATAAAAATAAAATGTGTTCTTACAATATTACGTAATACATATACAGGGTGACTGGTGAATTACTATCGATATTTGAGGACGTGATATTTGACGATCATATATGACAAAATAAAAATTAATATAACATAAATATTAATAAACTTCTAAGTAAAGTTAACCAAAAGTTGTGTAATTAATTACGCATCGTATGAACACCCTACAGATTAGGTATACACACACACTCACACAGACGCGGCGGCGGCGTGTTGTTGTATCAGCACGCCGCCGCACGCGCCCACACTCGGAACACTAGGAACGTGTACACACTTTATTTATTTATACGGAAATTTGGTCAAAAATTAAATACCTATTTTTTTTACATAATTCGAATGAGAATCATGTACCGAGTATGCTCCTTAAATATTGATAGTAATTCACCAGTCACCCTGTATATTCCATTAATATTTACACAACAGCAGTAAGATTTTTTATTATTATTAATTAAATAATAGATTTTTTTCCTTTCAGGTTCTACGTCCATCTTCAAGGAAAGATGATGTTGTTCTCGCAATTTCTATAACTGGTACAGTTAAGGTAAGTAATATAATATATAACTTTTTCACTCTACTCTGTCTGTAACTATATTATTTTGCTTTTCTGATTTTCTATGTTGTAATGATATTTGGATTCAATATAATTAGTGACTCAAAATATTTTTGCTGTAAGATATTGAAAATATTTTGTATTTACTTATATTTTTTTATGTACTATATTATCCATTATATCACGTTAAATAGTATATTTCTATAGCTTTCAGCCTAATTATTATATGATTGTTTAAGTTTAAATGAAAATTATAATGCTTTCATTCATTAAATAAATATTTTCATAAATACTTCTTAGGTATAAAAAAAGGATTTATTTTACATATTTTGGTTTGATTCTTAGAATTTTGCAATTATACATATTTTAGAATATTTTTTAGACACTATACTTGTTGTATTTTGTCATATATTTATAAAAAACCATAGATATATACCTAATACTGTATAATTATCAATTTCAGGTGTGGTCTCTCCTCGGCCATGAGAATAAGCAATCAGAACCAATATATGAGAATGAGTCAAAACAGATCCGTTGTTTGAATGCTCTTTCATTAAACTGCTGCGCTTACAACCAGCGTACAGTGTTGATAGTCTGCGCCAAATACTGTCAGATATATGATGCTGGTAAATTATAGTATTACACACACACATCCCTACTAATATTATAAATGCGAAAGTAACTCTGTCTGTTTGTTACGCTTTCACGCCTAAACTACTGAACTGATTTTAATGAAATTTGGTACAGAGATAGAGTTGACCTTGAGAAAGAACATAGAATAGTTTTTATCTCCAACTTTGAAAGGTTCTCTTGGAAACGCGATATAACCGAAATCCACGCGGGCGAAGCTTCGGGTGGAAAGGTAGTACATATATAAACGGAAACCTCTCATCATTCAATGTATTCACGGTGCGTGTGTCGGGTCCATCATTGTAGTGAGAGGAGCTTCAACAGTGACTGTGACTTGTGACCCAGGTGTAGGTTTAAGGGTCCCTATCTAACGAGCGCTAAACGCTCACCTCCACCGTACAAGCTCCTGTCTCTACTTAATTAAATTGGAACAGAATTATTATTGGTACATACATAATGAAGAAGCTTCTTCTATATATAATGTCAATACCTATAAGACTAAGTGTCTATATAAATGTTTTTGTATTGAAGTATCTGAGATTTAATTCATTAATACATTAAAAATTTAATTTAAATTATGATTATAATTTAGAATAAGAAGTTTATGATAAAATAAAATATATAAATAAGATATATTCATACATAAGTTCTATAATGATATATTACTTTAAAAATACATATAATATGTTTTTATCTGAATAAGTTTCAAATGTTTTAGCTTAACCAATAATTGCAAGATAATATTAAAATATTATATTAAATGATTCTGTAATATTTTTCAGGTGATTTCTCAGTGCTGTGTTCTATCCAAGCGCCATCTGGTGAGCGTTGGATGTCAGGTGACTTTTTAGCACCAGATAGAGTATTAGTCTGGTCGACTGAAGGAAAAGGGTACCTTTATAAACTACCCGCAAAGTAAGTAATACACAAAATATACAACTACCCTCATATAAAAAACACAGGCTAGTTATAAACTTGACACAGAATCATTCATTTCAAAGCATTAGTATATCATCGGAGCACATATGCCTGTTTTATTCACTGTTACTAAAAAAAATAATGTATTGAATGATATATATAAGTGACAGTATGACTCAAATGGAGTATTGTTATTTTATAATACATTTATTGCGGGTTCGATTCCCGGTTGGTTGAAATTGATTTTGTATTGTATGAAGTGATTTTTATATGTGTTTAGGTTGGAAGCTTGTGCTAAAAATGATGTTTCTTTTATAGCAAACTTCGCGGGCGAGTTATCAGTAGGTCAGCACAGTTATTTGTATGTGTATTTATTTATTTGATAGCATCGTTTTGTTTTTTACTTGCTGATAATGTATGTTCATTGAATCAAAACTTATTAATATTCATTCAGTTGTACGTCCATTGTATTATAACATTATATTGTGATAATTAATTGAAAATTCAATTAGATAATGTAGAATTTTGTATTTGTTACATAAGGGACATAGTGTTAAAGTCGCATTTCCATTTTCCATTTGAACTAACTATAAATGTTAATTCTACATTATCAGCAAACGTAGTGAATTATTTTGTTGGAAGATACCTGTGATGGTTTATTTGGATGTCTAGTGTTGTTTCATTGATATATGAAGTGGATCTTTATTGGTATTCTATTTTTGTATGGTCGAGAGAATATTTTATTTGAGAATTAGATTGTAACTGTAGATTAAATATTGTTACTTCACAGTTGAAGACTTATTTATGCTAAAAAATACTCAGTCAATTTATTTATTTCAAAGTTTTTGTGATCTAAAAAAATTTACCACTTTTACTGAACTATGTAACGGATATGTAATTATTTAAATCAAAGAAATTTGTGTTTCATTTGATTTGTTCTTATTTAAAAATTAATACAACTAGGATATAATGATATTATTTATGTATTTTTATCAATTCGTTTTTTTTTTCAAATAAATATTTACAAAAAAACAACCTAATGCTATGCAATTTTCTGTCAAACATGATATTTCTTTTTTTGGAATTAAAAAATCTTCTATATATTAATTTTCAACTTGTAATATAAGTAGTTTTAATTAATAAATATACAATATTTAAAGATACTTATCACACCAAAGAAGTTCCATTTCTATGACATATATATTTTTGTTTGTTCTAGCGTTGTTTATAGTCTATGAGTTCTGTTTATGCTCTAGATTATTGTTTTGAACTAGTTCGTGTATTATGTTGCGATAGCACACCATTTGATACCATAATTTTGTTTTTATACGTTTATAACACAAACATGAGATACCTACCAGGAACACATTGGCTTATGTAAAAGACGATGCATTTTTTTTTGTATTTATTCTCATGATATATGTGAAATGATGGAAAACTAACTGGCACATAACATTTTAAAGAGATATTCTATAGATTCCAATCTATAGATCTTTCTTTGTGGTTTTGTTTGGAAGGGTATAAAGTTACGTAAATGTTGCAGTTCGGTACCTGATCACAAAGGCTTTCACGGACCAACAGTTGAACACGATAGTCCAGTTTTGTTCGGCATATTAGCTCATCCAGATAATAAGGTATGCAATTCATCCTCTTACTGAATTACTAGTGTGATAAATTCGGTTTAGTAGGGCCAAAAATGTGTTGAAAATTCCAGAATAAAATTTAATTAGATATTGTCTTAGTTTGATACTTTAGATATGTTGGCGTGATAGAGCAGGATGCTTTAATTGATATTGTACATCTAATAAATTAAACGCTTGATTGACAGACGAGAACTAATCTTTATTGGAAAAAACGAACATACCCACAGACTTACATTCTTTACGCTCGATGGCGCTACTAGTTCGTAATGAGTGATATTGTCGATACAAAATAGATATAAAATAACAGTACAATTAACAGAGTTTTACACACGACGTGGTTTTAATAAATGGTGGATTTACCTGAATAATTATTTGTCCATGTTTTTTCACATGAATATGTAATATAATACAGTGGCGTGCACACCATAGATGCAAATAAGCACTGCATACCCTACCCATATAACAACTAAACCTATATTGTTTAATTCTTACTTACATACTTTTGATCATACGTTACGAAATACAAATGTTTACAGACATTTGATTCATGATTTGTTAATAAGTGCCATCTATCAATGTAAAAGCAAAATATTTTCGATCGGCCGCTGCTAATTGCTAGCGACGCTATGCAGCCAGATCGACGATATGCACAACCACTCTGTGCTTATTTTTCATACAAAAATTCTCAAGGACACTCTACAAAATATCTCGTGTAAATATGCAGAAAATGTTTGTATGTGTGTTTAAAACTAACACATGCATAATGTTCGAGAAGCACTGATTATTTTGTATTATTTAAAATGTCGTAGAAAGTACGTTAATTACGTTTTAGTAAAAAGTATTGTGATAGTTTTAATTAGTTAGCAGGTTGTGTACACACAAATAAGTTATTTTATTTTAGTTATTTGTTGTTTTCAAATGATACTTATAAGAATGTATGAATCTCTATTGGATATTCCTATTTAAATAACTTTTATAAAGCTGTGATGAACAGATCGTAATTGTTTTAAAGTACTTTCGTGGCTCAGAGGTAGTTGATAGACTCATAAAGTATATAGAGGTTCGTTCTGATCGGACTGCTGTAACATAATGCGTTAATGTTATCAATGTTTAAATGAAATTAATATTATCTGATTACTTCTCGTATTTTAATTTATGTTTAAAAACTACATACTTCCGACGTTGCGATTCCTTTGCAGCCACCGTGATCACGGCAGACATCTCGTTTGCCCGTTAAAAATATCAAAAATTTTATTCATTTAAAATTGTAATCAATACTTTAGATATCATTATATCAATGTTTTAGAGTAGGAAATGATAAAAATTGGTATTTTATTTTTCAAACATATTCTGCTTACCCTAACCCAAATCTCTGTGCACGCTACTGACAAAATACACTTCTAAGGTTAATTTTAAGAGCAAAGTTGCGTGCAACATATATATATATATATATATATATATATATATATATATATATATATATATATCTTCTATATATATAAAAATGGATTGCTGTTCCTTAGTCTCGCTAAAACTCGAGAACAGCTGAACCGATTTATCTTATCTTAGTCTTGAAATATTCGTAGAGGTTCAGGGAAAGTATAAAAGCTGAAAAAAATTGATTCATTACTGGGAAAACCATAAAAACAGCCCTTTTCTATTTTCCATACAAACGTTTTTTTTGACATTAGATTTGACAACTAACTAATATGACACTCATTCTGTCGCACTTCAGAACACGGAGATTTATGGGTTACAGGTAAACTCCAAAAATATAAATAAAAAAACGTAATAGATATTTCTTGATTATAGGGCGATACGAAGTTCGCGAGGTCTTCTAGTATATATATATATATATTATATTTTATATTACATATATCTTTTTCGGCTATAGTTGCTGTCATGCCCACCAGCTATGCGTTTCATTCTGACTTCTGTTGGCGGGAAACAGAGAAGATTATTATTAAGAGGAGATTCACACGGTGTCGTCTCTTTATGGAATGTAGATGATGCGGCCACGCCACAGATTAAAAACGTTTCTTGTAAGACAATATACTATTATATATTTTATTATTTGTTTTTTATATACTACACACATTTGTGTATGGGCTTAAATGTATATTTTCAATGGTAGCTAAAATAATGTTCCTTAAATTAGATGTACATTTATTGTATGTTAATTTATTATAATTAAATAAATTGGACATTAAATAGTCATTATAAAATTAAGTCAAAAGTTGTCATAATCAACTATCTTCTTCTTCCTGGCAATTCCCCAGTTTTAGCCAGGGTCTGCCTTGTCATAATAGACTATATTTATCATTAATTAATTATCTTTAACAGCCCATGCTCCCATCGTGATGACTAGTTTGGAGATGGCCTGGGCAGAGATGAACCCCAGTCCTGTGGGTATATTAGATCAGTTTGGACATCCGGATGAACCTGGTATGTGTATATATATATTGATACCCCCTGTATAAGTTGTTGTATCTCCAAAAGTGTAATTTTACAGTAGAGCCTTTCAAAGATTCAAATTAAACCAAAATCTGCATTTATTGATGCATCTCTTTAAAATTTCGTATTTAAATTTAACATAATAGTTTTCTTAACTACGTTAAAATATATTTTAATTATTGTATACATATATTATCATATTTTTGGATATTTGTATCACTTAAACGAAGTAGTAGTTAGTAGAAGACCTTTCTATCAAACAGAAAACCTTCTTTTTTTATCTAACAGTCGTAATTACTAATAAAAATATAAGTGAGCAACAAAAAAACGTCAATTTATGTACAATGTATATAGTATTAACTTAATTTGGACTATGTTTATTCACAGAAATAAAACTAACATCATCAATATACTTGCTGGCCGCTAACAGATTGGTGGTAGGTCGTGAGGATGGATCTATAGTGATAGTGAACGCGACACATACAGTACAACTGCAATTGTTGCACGGGAATCACCAGCAGTTGAATGGTAATGTGGTACTACCAGAAATAATATGACTAAAGAAATATTACTTGTATGTTAACCAGATTCAATTGTATTGGGTATAAATATAAAAGAATGATAACTTAAATTATAACAAATTAATTCATCATGAAAAACATGAATAATAATAGTTTATTATATATAAATTATTGGTACTTTTAAAACTTTTCATATTTTGGTTTTTAAGAATAGTAATAGAACATTTATTAAGTAGATTGTAGTAGATTATTTCATATAATAAGTCAGTGGTTAGAGGGCCGCCTCTCATGCACGAGGGCGCGGGTTCGATCCTGGCAAGAACCAATGTGATTTTTCCGAGTCATATGTCCTTTCTAAAAGTATTTAGACACCACTGACAGATGAAGGAAAACATCATGAGGAAACTTGCACTTATAATTTCACAATTATAAGTTTGAAATCACCAACCCGTCTTGAGCGAGCGTGGTGATTAATGCTCAAACCTTCTCCATGTGAGAAAGAGGCCTTTGCTCAGCAGTGGGCTCTGATAGGCTGAAAAAATAATAATACGTATACTAGTATCTTACAACTAAGTACATTTGGGTAGAGTATTTTTGGGATTGCAAAAAATAACTATGTAGCAATATAATAAACTTGATGTTAATTGTGGTTTTGCTTCCAATCCTAACGACATTTAAGGACAAAAAGTTTCATATACAATGTAGAAATATGTTTATTTTAAAAATTATATAAGTAGTTTTAGAAGTTCTTCTTAATAAACAATAATATATAAGATTTCACTTTTTATCTTGTTTTATATCTTATTTTCTAATAATAGATCTTAGTTCAAGGTTTATATATTTTGTTCTCAGACTGGCCCCCACATCAGCTACTTTTGGGACACAACGGAAGAGTGAACTGTTTGCTTTATCCACATTATGTTAATTACAGGTATGTCATAATAATAATTTAACTATATATTTAGGGCTAATGTTAAGGTAAATAAGGCGAATAAATATATTTTGTAAATGCAAGTAAATACATTTAATCTTTGATACTGATAACGAAGACCAATTTTGGGTTATATAGAAGATGTATTAATATTTATATTTAATCCAGAATGCGCGGCTTAATTAACATTTTAAGCCTTTCTTCCTTAACATTTTAATATACCATAAATGACATAATAGCTCAATTTGTAAGCAACTAAACTCTTTATTCTGGTCATTTTAGTTTCGAATCCCACTCTTTAAAGAAATTTTCCTCTGATATCTTCTTAGTTTAATATTAATGTTCTTAATAATATTAATATTTATTATAGGTACGACAAAGCCCACCTAGTATCAGGTGGTATAGACTTCGCCGTGTGTCTATGGGATCTGTTCAGCGGGGCGCTTCTTCATCGCTTCTGTGTTCACGCGGGGGAGATCACACAGTTAATAGTACCACCACAAAACTGTAGCGTGAGTATATATATTATTGAGACTTATACGAATATTCATTTATATGAAAGTACCTACTATTTTTTCAGATATATTACGCACGATTTATTTTTGATTACAAACTACATACTCCCGACGTTTCGCGTGATCAAACTTCAAATCTCTTTGGTTAAAATATTAGTTTATTTTTAACTTGGTTTTTCACGGGAATTTAGACTTAATGATCATCAAATTTGCAGAAACTGTGTACATATCTAAATATAACACCTTGCAGATGAAGCATTATTGGTTTTTAATGAATAACTTTAAAATTAATTAACTGCTTCAGAATCTTTTGTTGGAACGAAGTTCCTTATCGCGAGTTGCTAAAGGAGGTAAACGGAAAAACATAAGACCAAAATTGTAACGACTCTTTTTGCTGTAGTTGGAAGTCTCTGTCTCTCTCGCACACTATATCTCTCTCTGTCTTGTAGAAAGCGAGCCACTTATTTTTAGTTGAGTATATATTATAACATAGTATATATGTATTTCTTTTCAGCCTCGCATACAAAAGTGCATATGTTCAGTTGCCTCCGATCACAGTGTGACGTTACTGAGTAAGTATATATCTATGTATCTTTTTCTAGATTTCTATAAACTATGGGTTTTGTTATTAAAGTATATTTCATAGTTTTAGATTTAACCCCTGGGTAGTTAAATATATGTACAAATTAATTGACACATTGGCCTTGTGTAAAATCAAGCCATATTCCTTCAGCTTGATGTTTTAAGCTGTAAACTTTGTAACTTTTTTTATATATTATGACATTATTTTGAGTAACTAGATATAAAAATAAATTGAACACATTTTTTTTTTGTCATTCATATAGGAAAATAACTATATTTAATGAGATCTAAGATATTCGAAAGTTCTATTCATTGAAATGAAACTAATATTTGTAGGGTTATATTACGCGACTTTATTTTTGATAAAAACTACATACTCTCGATGTTTTGACTACTTCACAGCAACCGTGATCATAATGACGAGATGTTTTGTCACGGTTACTGAAAAGTAGCCGAAACATATCGATTACCCAGTTTTTAACAAAAATAAAATCGCGTAGTAATCCGAAAAACATTAGTTTCATTCAAACGAATACTCACATCAATCTTAGACCTCATTATCATGATATTTACTTCTTAATAATGTAGTTATTTAATCCAATTTTATTTATATCTCAGGTTTATCTGAACGTAAGTGCGTGACGCTAGCATCACGTCACTTATTCCCGGTGGTGACAATCAAGTGGCGGCCGGCTGATGACTTTATGGTGGTAGGATGTAGCGATGGCACAGTTTATGTGTGGCAAATGGAGACTGGACATCTTGATAGAGTATTACACGGTAAGTAAAGGATTGGTCACAGATAAATTGACCATAGACAATAATATAGACCATAGATAATCTAAATAACTTAACAATTTAAATACGATATTGCAAATTGATTTATTTTTCATGAATTCGAGCAGAAACTATTTGTTTGTTACTTTGTAATTATTTTTTGTTCATTGTTTTTGTATTGGCTAATTATTACACAAAAAGATTATAAATACAAAAACATAGTTTTCATCAAAGATGTTGGTGAAGTTCTTCAGTTGTTTTGGCAGCATATCAACTTATTCATTGCCAAATAAATGAAATCAATGCTTACATCCCTATATAAAAAAGTTAATAATTCTTTTAGCCAACTATATTATATATCACTTATGGAACAACATTCTAGACCTCGGCGTAATCAAAAAGTTAAGTGATAATGTTCCCGGCACTTTCTTTTCTTGTTAATACTGTGGATTGTGATATTTGTTTCAAGTGTTTGTTTTGTTGACAATTATACTGTTATTTCTATGTGACACATGACAGTTCCTTCTTGATATGTTCGGATATTTGTACTAAAATCTTTGTCATTGCCACAATGTACATGTATATATCTTGTTTGTTTTTTGTTTGTTTTAAATTAAGAAGCCATGTAAAGGATAACTTTATCTGAATTTATTTAAGGTAATTAGGTATTTGTTTTTGTATTATTTTTTGTATTTCCTTGATTTAATATTTTTATATATTTATATTTATTTAATATCTTATGTGCGATAGTATATTGAATATTGATATTGATAATGATTTATTTTCTGATAGTTCCACGGATGATTGTATAATTAATGATAGCCTGTCTTCTTGTTCCGATCTACAAATCAATAATTTATTTCCCGATTCATTAAATTTCTTTAACATTGTACATATTAATGCACAGAGTATTCCGGCGCATTATTCTGATCTTCTGGCATCCTTTAGCAACACACGTGTCGACTGCATTCTGGTCTCTGAGTCATGGCTGAAACCTTCTCTCCCCTCCTCTCTTTACAATATTCCTAATTTTACCCTCATACGTAACGATAGAACCTTTAAAAGAGGTGGAGGAATTTGTATTTACCTTCGAAATAACTTGTGCTTTCATACTATTTCTCAGTCTCCACAATGTGTTTCCGAACCCATTTTGGAGCACCTTTTCGTCGAAGTTAATGTCCTCAATTCCAAGCTTTTGATCGGTGTTCTATATAGCCCCTCTTCACACGTTAATTATTTTCCTTCTTTAGATTCCCTTCTTGATAAATTTTCTCCTTCTTATGATCACCTTATACTAATGGGAGACCTGAACACCTGCCTTATCAAAAATGACTACAGAGCCGAAAGATTGAAATCCTTAATTTCATCTTTTAACCTTTCAGTCCTTCCCTTATCTGCAACCCACTATCCTCCAAACGCTGGATCTTCTCTTCTCGATCTTATAATTGTATCCCAACCTGAATATGCTCGCTCTTATGGCCAAATGTCATCGCCTTTTTCTTACCATGACCTCATTTTCCTTAATTATAATATTTCTACCGTAAGACGCAAACGCCGTTCAATTTTTCGCCGTAGTTTAAAAAGCGTTAATACTGATGTCCTCTTGTCTGACGCACTGTGTATAGATTGGTCGCCTCTTTACAATTCTGCGAATATTGATGAAAAAGTGAACTGTTTCAATTCTGAAATTTACAATCTCTATGACATTCATGCTCCGATGAGACGTATACGAGTTAGGCATTATCCCGCACCTTGGCTAACTCCAACAATTAAATCCTTTATGGCCAAGCGGGATAAAGCTAAACGTAAATTCAGAAAGGATCAGTCGCTTGATAACCATGCTGCCTACAAAAAGCTGCGTAATCTCTGTAATAGAATGTGTAGGGATGCAAAGCGCCGCTACATCTTCTCCTCTATTTGTAATACTTCAAGCTCACAAATGTGGAGCTTTCTAAATTCATTGGGTGTGGGTAATTGTTCCAAGTGGAAATCTTTCCAAAATATTAATTTTAATGATTTAAATAATCATTTCTCCAATCCTCCGGTGTCTGTGCCTTCATCTCGTAAGAATTACACTTTAATGAAACTTGCTTCCACCTCCCCACCTAATGGTAACTCTTTTTTATTTCCCATAATAACGGAAGATGATGTCGAGAAATCTCTTTTATCCATTTCTTCCAAAGCAGTGGGTTATGATGAAATCAGTGTTGACATGATCTTACCAATACTCAGCGTTGTGTCACCTGTATTAACTCACATTTTTAATTTTTCTTTGGTATCAGGAACATTTCCTACCGCTTGGAAGTCGGCTCATATTATCCCGCTTCCTAAACTATCTAACCCCACTTTACCATCTCACTTTAGACCTATCGCTATTCTCCCTATCCTTTCTAAAGTTTTTGAACTCATTATCCATAAACACCTTTCTGACTACCTTCACCACAATAACCTCCTTAGCCCATTTCAATCGGGTTTCCGATCCCACCATAGTACCAGATCTGCTTTACTGAAAGTAACAGAGGATGTCCGAAACGCTATGGACAACAGAGAATTAACCATTTTAGTTCTCCTAGACTTCAGTAATGCATTTAACTCTGTTGACTTCGACATCTTATTAGGAATCCTCTCTTCTCTCTCGATATCACCAACTGTTATTAAATGGTTTCAATCTTACCTCGTCGGACGTCGGCAGATGGTGAAATCTGATGAGAGCTTCTCTGATTGGAATGTCACATATGCCGGGGTTCCACAAGGCGGCGTCCTCTCTCCTTTACTCTTCTCTTTATTCATAGATAATATTTCCAAACATATTTCTTCTCCCTATCATCTCTATGCAGATGATTTGCAGCTTTATAGACATACTCCACTATCTACACTTGTGGTAGCTATCGAGGCTGTTAATGAGGAGCTGATATCTATACACAGATGGGCAAATGACTTCGGTTTGCTAGTGAACCCAAAAAAATCTCAGGCGATTATTATTGGAAGCAAGCAAATCTACAAAAAAATTAATTTTGACACTTTACCCTGCTTAATGTACGATGGGGTGACAATCCCATTGTTAGATCGGGTTAAAAACTTAGGTCTATTAATGGATTGTCATCTGTCGTGGACAGCTCAGGTGAATGAGGTAAGTAGAAGAATTCACTCTACTCTTCATTCTCTTAAACGTCTGCAAAACTTCCTTCCTTTTAAAACTAAAATTATTCTTGTACAATCTCTCCTTCTTTCCTTACTCGACTACGGTGATGTTTGCTACTTAGATGCCACTGATGAGCTGCTCGATAAACTGGATCGACTTCAGAATTTATGCATCCGTTTTATTTTCGGCTTGCGTAAATACGACCACATCTCTGAATTCCGCAACAAATTAAAGTGGCTCCCTATCCGCTTCCGCCGGAATATGCATGTTTTAACGTTAATGTACAATGTGTTCAAACATTCCTCTCCCCCGTACCTACTTGAACGTTTTAAATTTTCCTCCCCCAGAATCCTTCCTCATCGCTCCTGTGTTGCACAAAATCCTCTTGATATCCCCTCCTTTAATACTAAATTTTATCGTAAATCCTTCTCCGTCCAAGGTGCAAAACTTTGGAACTCTCTCCCACCTTCTGTTTACAAAGAGAGTCCAAGTGCATTTGCCTTTAAATATCGACTTAAGAGACATCTTCTATCACTTTTACCTTAATATAATACATATGTAATGTTTATGTACATATTTATATATATTTATGTATATATTGTATTTATTTGTATATATTTATGTATATTCTATGTATGTATTTATGTATATATATTTATGTACATTCCTTCTCTCATTTTATTGTACCTATGCCACATTTCTCTTCTCATTTCCTCTATCAAAAGGGTTTCTGGTAGAGATCTCTTTTAAGAGATAAGTTATCCTTGTACATCACATTTCTTTTATAATACTTTTATTGTAACTATTTTTTTTCTGTTGGGTACATAAATAAATAAATAAATAAATAAATAAATATATTAATATTAATTTTCTCAAAGAAAGGCTAAAGAACTCTCATTGTATAATGAAAGGCTAGAATTTTTTTATATACATAACTTGAGCCGAAGAAGAGATTTGTTGGATTTGATGTTTTTATATAAAAGTCTTAACAATATCTATGATAATCCAGATTTAGTATCTAAGATTAAATTTAATGTTCTCTCTCTATATCCACGCAACACAATCAATCCTCTTACAAGACCTTTTCGAAAAACTGTTTTAGGCAATAATTCACCAATGTCTAGGATGTCTAAAATTCTAAATGATAGTTGTAAACATTTGGACCCTTTTAGGGACTCACTCAAAACATTTCGTTATAAGTTTTTGTTCTGCGATAAATTAAATAAATATTTTTTACCAATAAGTTAAAACCTTTTTAATATAATGTAATAAATGATTTATAAACTTCCTAATATTTGCATGGTGTAATCTGCCTTAAAAGATAATGCATTTAGAATTAAGCTACACTGTATTTCTTTTTTACCCAATATTGTATTAATGTAATTATCACTGGTGGATCTTAAATAAATAAATATATTTTTTTTTCTTACTTAATTTGTTTTTATATACAGGTATGATAGCCGAAGAAGTTCTTGGCGCGTGTGATGAGGCTGTCGCTGATGAATTAGGCGGAGCAGTCGGTGGGGGCGACCTGCAAGGCCTGGCAAATCCAGCGGTTCACTTCTTCAGGTGAGTTCCAGTATATTCATGTACATCTGCAACTTCTAGAACACAGCGTTCCAAGTGTTTTAGGAACAGTAATAAACATTTTATGTAGTTAACCGTCATATGAAAAGTTGTGGGTTCGATTCCACGTCGTGTCTTAAAAGTATTTCTTTCTACATTTTCTATTTCAAATATAATTATTATCAGTTGAAATTTGTATTATAAGTTGAAGTACCTTAAGCGTTTTTAGCAATTAAATCCAGAGTAAATATGAAAAATTTTGTTCAGTATGGTTTTTTTCTATTGATTACGTCTTTCTCTACAATATTTTCATAGAAGATACTCTATTTATATATATTTTAATCTCAAAACTGTAATTCACTTTTCCAAACCATTGTATGGTCTAAAATCCTAATATCCATATAACTTCCATTTATCCAGGGGTCTTCGTCATCGTAACTTGACAGCAATGAGAGCGGCGACCCAGCGTGGGTTGGCAGCCCTACAAGTAGCTGATCGATCCGGAAACGCCGGGCCACTAGCGGAGCCCGCGCGTGCGAGGCGAGCGCCCCTAACAGTACAGGGCTTCCGGTCCAACCCCGCCGGTGAGTGACAACCCTGAAAAATTTGCTATACAGGTACAGCCTAGCTATGGTCAAGTTACTACAGCTCGAATATAGGCTGCCTTGAACGGAGAAGTACCTTTCATAGATCGGCGTAAAGTAGTCTTCAATGGCTGCGTTTCGTCCGATGAGTGAGAGAGAGGATCGTCCTTTCTCTTTTCCCATACTTTCCTTCTTCTAAATTCAAGGTCAGCAACGCATTTGCAACATCTATTAAGTTGCAAATATCTATGGGCGACTGCTCGTTAGCCACATTTCTCATTTAAAAAAAATGGAATTATGTAAATTTTTTGATTATATAACATAGTTATCTTCTATAATAAGTAATTTTCATCCAGATCCTGAGAGCCACATACTGTTCTTCGACATCGAGGGACTGATCGTGGAGTTATTGAGTGAGGAGTACTCTGCTATGAGCCCGGCAAGCTTGGAGGTCAGTTGGTTATAGTATAGATTATACATAGTTAATATAATTGAAACTAATATTTTATGGATATACTACGCGCGCGTTAGCTAGGGGTCCCTTAAACCTACACCTGGGTCACAAGTCACAGTCACTGTTGAAGCTCCTCTCATTACAACGATGGACCCTACACACGCACCGTGAATACATGGAATGATGAGAGGTTTCGTCTCTTTGTAAAATCGTGAGCATGGTTGGTGTAAAGTAAGCGAAAATTCAGGAGTATGTAGTTTTATACAAAAATAGAGCACGTGTAGTATATCCGAAAAATATTAGTTTCATTTAAATGAAAACTCGAGATAGTCTTAGATCTCATTATAGTTAATACATATGTGTTAGTTAATATCTTCTTTTTACTAAAATGGATATAATTTCTGATATCAAAAACTTCCTGACGTGCCTAAGCTTATTCTAAGATCAGATTTTTGGATTTTTAAATAAATATAGTAATTATTCTTTATAGTGTTCACACGATGCGTAATTAATTACATAACTTTTGGTTAACTTTACTTAGAAGTTTATTAATATTTATGTTATATTAATTTTTATTTTGTCATATATGATCGTCAAATATCACGTCCTCAAGTATCGATAGTAATTCACCAGTCACCCTGTATAAGGCACAACAAATTAAACCTATGTTTTTTCAGGCTGCCGGTCTCATAACAAGTGAATACATGAAGGTGGCAGCCCTGACACAGAGTGCCAGCCCTGACGCAGCCAAGCGGATATCCGGTATATAAATTATTATTTGAGTATATATTCTGGATTTCAGCATTAGATAATTTTCATATATTAAATAAATGTGTTATTGTCTGTGTGCTGCATTCGGATAGATTTCTTTGGGAGAGTGAAAGACAAGGCCGGAGATATGGAAAGACTGTTGAAGGAAAAGGACAAACATGGTTTGGATTATTAAAGATAATGTTTACTAGGATATTTGTTTTTATTACTACAATACGTATTTTTAAAAAAGAGGGCTAGAAAAGAGGTTTTAATGTCTCTTTGGAAGTAATAGTAATATGATGCTAAGATTCATATATAATACATAGTTATCTATTTAGGCTTTAAATAGTATGTGTTTGTATGATAATTAATTCGTAAAGTTATTTTGCGCATAAATAAGAATTTTCATCATAATCGGAACAATTTTTCTTAATTTATAAGTCGGTCATGTTTTCTAGTATATAAATATAACCCTTATTTTCCTCTATTTTTCCTTTTAAATTACGCATGTATTGAAATAAATTAATATTGATATTTTTTTAAGGTATTCTCGCAAAAATGAAGGAGGGAGCGGAAACTATGCAGACTAAGTTACAAGCGAAAGCGGAGCAACTAAAGGGGCAGATGGAGAATAAAGGTAAGTGTATGTTAGAGAGAGATAGTAAATAAATCCGACAGAGACAACAGATTCATTAGAAACAACGCGTGAGAAAGAGATAGCACTATAATCAGTCAATCAGAAAATGTTGGAGTTAAAATTTCTCATTGAAAAAAGATTTGGTTCAATAAGTGAAAGACAGTAATATGAGTAGGAAAGAGATGGATGTAAAATTATAGTCATCATGAAATTTAAGTTTTGAAATAGGCTAAAGTAACTTTAACATGATGTGTTACTGCGTTTTACAGTTTATTTTTTTTATTATGTAATAGCAAGTATTTTGCATAAGGTAAGTCATATATTTCATAATAATACTTAAAATAAATTACGTTTTACTTTAGGAAGTTAAACTCTGTCAACAAGTAGCGCCATCTACATTCATCATCATATATGATAAATGATGAAAACGCAAGTTTTGCCAATAGATGGCATTACTTATACTTTAACTTTAATTCAGGTGTTATAATATCGTGTTATTTTTTAAATGATACTCAAATTTTGTCATAATCATGGTAAATATTAATTGATTTGATTGAATTTTTATACAAACAATCTATAAAACTTCGTTAGGTATCGTTATCTCGTAATGAGCATTATGTTGGTGAAAAACCTATCAAAATTGGTGTAATAACATCGAAGGTTACAAAAAGCGACAACTTCATAAGTTCCTTTTTTTATAACCAGTTAAATGAGTAGAAAAATTTAAACATAAATAGACACAACACATTTTGTTTATATTGTGTTCGTGTTGAGTTAAAATATAAACAGTGAAACATTTTATAGGATTATCCTAAAAACTTATAATATACATAGCTATAAATATCATATATATACTATTTCTTGTGTCTGAATATAAATATAATCGTCGCATATAAACACAGTCACAAGTGTATATCGTAAAAAACATTAATAAATATAAGAAGTGACCAAGGTGATCTACATTCATAAATAATGTGGTCAAATTATATTTGTAAACACATGGGACTGTGTTGCGTCGAGCTTTTTTGTGACTCATACATTATAAATGACAATATTCTCCTTAAACTAGTGGAATTTTCATATTGAGTCAGGCTGTATAGGTAATTTTAATATTATATTAAATTATAGTCTAACCCTAAGTGGCTCTCTTAAAATTAACTAGCACCAGTGTTATAAAATCAATAATATTTAAATTATACATGTATATGTACTTGTTTATATGAAATTTAATTGATAAAAATCAACATGCAAAGCTTTTTTGTATTAATCTTAATGATACTTTATTCAGTTTTTCTTTTAAATGTCCTTTCAAATATAAAAATTTAAATATAAAATATAAAAGTTAATACGTTTTAAATGTATTTTTCACACTAAATTGATAGAAATTATAATTCCTTGTACTGTCAATGTCAACGGCCAGTTTTTTTTTTAAACACATTACATATATATTTTTATCTGTATTTAAAATAACGTTTTTCTTATCAAAAAATAATCATTATATTATTATAGTATTAATTACTTTTTAAAAACATATTTTCTTTTATAAAGGTAGGTAAGGCGAAATATTGAACCGTATATTTCTCGAGTATGCCTACGCCCTAGCCAAGGCAGTCGAGATTCAAGTAAACAAGCCCCTCTTGAACACGAATAAACTGAACTTTAATTACATGAAAATAAGGATCACATTCGAGTGATTATTATAGTGTTAATATGCAACTTTCGAAATTTCTAGATTGCTCTTTGTTTGATTATATCTGTACAGGAATTTGATATGCACTTTATTGTCGGACGGGAAACGATTAAAGTAGGGGTTATGTACAATGTAACTTGTATGTGTGTTTGTGTTGTAATAATGTTCGCTTATATATAGAGAACTGGTTATGGGATTCTGACAGTAATGAAATTTAACTTTCGCGGGTATTCATTTAAACGAAACTAATGTTTTTCGGATTACTACGCGTATTTTATTATTTTAAAAACTAAATACTTCCAAAGTTTCGGTTATTTTTTAGCAATCGTAATCACGGGCATTCACATCTCGTAGTAATCCGAAAAATATTAGTTTTATTATGACAGTATTATCGAATTATTTTTTGTATTTTTGGTTGAAAATTTAAAATTATTGGTCTTAAAAGTCAATATGCAGTGATCTTTACTGAGGTCGTATACAGAAATGAACAGTAATCAGTATTTCCAATAAGTAAAACCTAATATATAACAAAAGATTATACAATGTGACAATAATTTTTTATAAGCTGTACATTATGTAAAATATTTTAATCCACACTATGTTATGCTTTATTCGTATGAATAGCTATTTATTACCCGAGACTTTGTCTGTCCATCGAACATGTCACTGTGTTAATTTTTAAATTACCAAGAAATTAACATTTATTTGTCAAGCGCTATAGTTGCTTTTGTCGTAAAATATGACTATTTATGTTAGAAACTAAATCTATAACTAGAGTGGAACAGTTATCATGGCATTACACAGGAACTTGAATATTTAAATGAAACCAATATTTTTCGGATTTTACTTCGCGTTTTTAAATCCGAAAAATATTAGTTTCATTTAAATGAGTACTCGCGAAAATCTTAGATCTTAGTCCCGCCTCCCATGCATGAGGGTACGGGTTCGATCCTGGCAAGTACCAATGTGATTTTTTCGAGTCATATGTACTTTCTAGGAGTATTTAGACATCACTGATTAATGCATTCTCAAAGAGGGTTGATGTCAGGCAGGGGGCCGGTCGTAAAAACAATTAGCCCTAACTATTTACAACATGAAAGGATAAAAGCTGGGAATTTGCCATTTTATTGAGCCTATGAGTCACAAGAACATTTATTGCGCAAGTATTTATTAAAATCATTTTTGGAGATACATTTATCATCACGATGTAAATCTTGGTGAAAATTTCACCAGATATGATACAGTACCATTCTCAATAGTTCGTCTGTAGTTACCCTTCAGTTGTATTTGTTTATTACCTTTCATGTATTTTAATATATTATTTAACAATTTACTGAATTCGTAATCGTCTTTCGTATTTTTCATCGGTGGACCGCTCAGTTTCATTATTTTGCTTTTTTCTGTTTTGTGTCTCTTGTTGCTTGTGGCTCCTATGTCGTCTAATAGACATCTTTGTGCGTGTTTAGTAGTTGGTTTTTGATCATTTTGCATAGTATACATAACAGTGATCAATAATACTGAAAAGGTTAAATGATTTTAAATTTAATACATATATGTTAGGTTATTACAAAAACCTAGTGACTATTTTGTAGATAAAGAGTGTGAAAACTCAAAAAATACATTTCCTATTTACATGTTTAACAGAAATTTGCACTAAAATCTGCAATTTGATGTGTTTATTGCTTTACATATTAGTTGTCCTAGCCTCGTTCAAGGCATACTATTTGACATGACAGTCAAAACAACTTTGTCGCTATGACTGGTCATGTCGTGACCTGTACCAAAAATTTGTACATTTCACTGGCCAAGATTTACAAAATATATGTTATATGAAAAGTGACGAATACACACCTAGAGTCGTTAGCCAAGGCAACGTCATTTTGGATTTGAATTTACTAAATTAACCCATTGGCTATGTATGCGTATCGAAAATTGTATTTAACAAAATGTTGCTTTCTGATAATTCGATTATTGAAACAAAAACTAATTAAGCTCTTTTAAACACTTTTTTAATTCCGAAATATTTTAAATTTCTTTTTTCAATTTTGAAACTTCTAAACGATGATTTATATGACAATGCGACTTATCAATAATATTTTTAGTTTGAGAGAAATAAATACCAATATGGTTTTGTACTCTTAAAGAGTTTTCTCTCAATCCAAGCCTAGTCTGCTCATTGTAACAGTGAAAAAGTATCTTTGTTTAATCTACTGGTTATGGTATCCCAACTTTAGAATGCTTCTATTTTTTCCAAAAAGAATATAAAGAAATTATAGTATGTATATATGTATATACATTTAAAGTAGTAAATGTGTATTGGAAACGACCTTCTTAATATTTCTTAGAATTATGAAATGTACATCTAGCTCTCGTAATAAATAGCCATGAATTCAAAGTAATTTTTTTTTAGTTTTTTTAGAAGAATAACAAATAAACCTAAAGGTCACTCAATCACGTGTTTCCGATTTTTGTTGGTATATTTGTATGCGGGTAGTACAACAGATTTGGTTTTTTGAGAAGTTTAGTACCTATATAAAATTTATTTTATTAATAATAATGGATGGTAATTTAATGAAATCTAAGATTTTCATTTCATTTCATTAAATGAAATAAAACTAATATCTTTGGAATTTACTTAGCGTTTATAATTATTTTTAACTATATACACCCATCGTTTCGGTTACTTTGCATATAAATATATGTAAATGGTAATGTTTTTCAACTTAAAAGAAAATCAAAGAAATGGTAATTAGAATATATAAATTCCAGTAAAATTTATTTTATTGTCTTCTTAATTGTAGGATACAAGCTTTTAAACACTTGACATACTTGCACATATGTATGTATGTGTTATTTGATAAGCATTATTATTTTTAATTAAGTAGTTTTCTTATATGTGTGTGCGCATAATAATTTCCTGTTTTTAATTTGAGTGTGTTTTATCGAAATATTTCTTCAGCTGTAGCTATAAGCCAATATTCTAACAAGTTGTTTCTAATTAACTTTAGATGGAAAATGTTGCATTAGTATTTTAATTTGAAATTTTATTTTTCTTTCCTTTATGTTCTTGATTATTGAATGTCGTGATAGTTAAAATAATAGAAATGTTGTTGGTAAGGGACTGATGATCTTCGAATATATAATCTTGTTTAATTACTGAAATGAAATTAATATTTTTCGGAGTACTACTAAATTTCTAGATATTGCTCTTTGTTTGATTATATCTGTACAGGAATTTGATATGCACTTTATTGTAGGACGGGAAACGGATAAAGTAAGGACTATGTATATAACTTGTATGTGTGTATGTGCTGTAATAATGTTCGCTTATATATTTAGAAC